ATGGAACTAAAAACTAATGTTCAAGGTGTAGTATGTGTATTTTCATGATAAACGTGGATGAATGGGGAACATTTGACTTTCCAGTTACCAATGAACTACTATTCCCCCATCACATCTCACAACTGGGTATGATAGCCTGCAAGTCAGGAATGATGGAAGTTGGAATTTAGCTATACCTGGAAGAGTCACACATTCCCCAGGAGATAAACATAGTTGCCATCAATTTCCAGGAACCTTGAACAGCCATGCATAAAACCAGGGTATTATGTTTTACAACCAAAGGAAAAAATTAAGTATTTCAGTACAATTTTTCCTTACTGAGGAGCAAGATATAATGAAATCTCATGTTCTAATGCAAAGACACAAGATATATTGATTAGTTATACATTACTGAACTATTCTGCAATTAATTTATTTTCTGTACTTCACTTCTCTGGAATGTTTGCAAATATGATTACACTTAGTTAATGAAGAGTTCTTACTGTAAATATGAATCAGAAAAATTAAGACACAATCTTATAGCATAAATAGTTACCGACATGAATGCAAATGTTTACATTCTATTATGATGCACCAGTAAATAAAGCATGTCCACCACCAGTCCTTTGCTTTGTGAAGCAGGTCTCCTTTTCCCGAAATTATAAAAGAAATAATATGTTTATTACATAATTGCTAGTATAATGCATTTTCAAAAGCTACATGCATTACAAAATGCAATGGATATTTTCATATGTATACAGACTAATTAATGGCATCCAAGTCATGAGGTAGACTTTTTAAAAACATCAGTGTATAACTAATAACATCTATCCATTTAAATGATGAGCACTGAAGTACAATAAAAGCAACTCTGCTGGAAAAGGTAAGTCGCTATTTGCTTATGATCGGCATATTTGCTCAGGGTTTTTAAAGCTTCTCAAAGTACTTCAACTACCTAGTCCAATTTTATCAAAGAATTATGGTTCTATCCAAGCCAGAATTATGTAATTAAAGTATTTATAAAAAATTGATTAGTTGCATTATTGAGGCATATTGTTAGAGAAACCGACTTCAATTGGGAAATTTACTGTATGTATGGGGAATATAGAGTTTAGTACAATGGCTATACAGTATTTGAAAAAAAAAGAGGATCTGCCTATTAGTTTTCTTCTTCATCTAAAAATCTTTTCTCATATTAAAAGTTCACAAAGCAAAAACATTCCTAAGAGTGCACTATCTTGAAACATCAGCTGTGGACAAAAAAGTTATATATAATCTAACCTAGCAGGCTGGAACCATTATACATGTTAGGATGACAGATTAAATTCCATTGCCAGGATTGAAGCTGAGAAAGAATTATACTGATGCAGTCATACATTAGAAGCTTGCTAATAGCCTATTGCTTTGTTCCAGACACAAAACAGCCCAGTCATTGGGGAGACAACTCAGAGATTGTAGGATTAGGTACTTGTCAACATTCTTTCACTTTGTTTGTCCAAAATATGTACTTTAGCTCAGCAAAGATAGCAAAACCATAAAAAATAAAATGAGATTGCCACTAGCAGAAATGCACATAATTATTTCACTATTTTCAGACACAAACCTGGGAAATCCTTTTCCTCTTGCTCTGTGAAACAGCTAACTCCAGAAGTGAGTAAGACAAATCACAACTGGGCAAATAATGGTACAGAAAATTGCCATATACTACCAGGTCAGTCCATTTCTCTATTATGCTTTTTCTAGTTGGCTGTGGTTCTGGAATGTCTCAAACAGAGATTAATTCCACCATTGTTACCCAGAGATAACAGAAATTCAGCCTGAGACTGTACACAAAATAAGCATGGTACTTCTGACCAATGATCCTGGACTAGATGAAAACACCTCCTATCGTCTCCATCCCAAATGGCTACTAGTCCTCCTGGGATGATGGAAGTAGTAATAGGTACAATTGTACAAGTAGTTGGGTATTTGCTACGGGATTTAAGAAAAACCTTCTTCTTGGAGTTGTGTTGTACTTCTGCCAGTATCCACATACTCTACACCAGTGGTTCTTAACCTTTGTTACTTGGATGTTTTTGAACTGCAACTCCCAGAAACCCCAGCCAGCAGTTGGTGATAAAGCCTTCTGGGAGTTGCAGTCCAAAACTCCTGAGTAGGTTAAGAACCAGTGCTCTACACCAGTGGTGCCCAAATTTGGGTAAACCAGGTGTTCTTTGGTAAACCAGGTGTTCTTTGGACTGCAGTTCCCAGAAACCTTCACCACCAACTTTGCTGGCTGCGTTTTCTGGAAGTTTTCTGGAAGTTGCTGTCCGAGAACACCTGGGTTATTCAAAGTTGTGAACCACTGCTCTAGACAACTGGAATCTGAAACATTGGGAAACATTAACATGTGGTAAAAGCAAACTCTACTGCATGAAAGATTTTTGTATGGAAAAAAGAATTGCAGATAAAATGTCAAGCCCAAATGTCAAAATCACACACACAAAATATTTGTTAGATGGAAGTGAAATCACCTTTACTAGAACTTCCATAGAATGGACCCTTTCAGAACTATTTCTGCCACATCATGGAAGTGAATTTACTATTCACAAATATAAGCTCATGTTTTAGAAAAACAATGTAAGAACCAAACTAAATGATAGGTTGACATCTAAAGCCCCCTTAAGATGGCCATGTGGTCTGCAGAAATATAGGGTGAAGATGGAAACCGATTTTGCAGGCATGGACCCCACAGAAAGGCAGAGGTACACAAAGGCTGTTAAGATCTGGAGCAGATGCTACATGAGGGCCATTTGGCACTCTAAGAAGCTACTAATTCATCTGGCTGGAGAGCCAAGATAAGGCTTCAACCAGTTTTTTCCCCCCTCACCAGCAAGAGATGGTAGGTGCAGGCAGAATACAGCATTATCTTCCAATAAGGTATTTAGTACACACGCTGTGTCCTCTTGTCGCTGCCAATGTCAACAGCATTTTCCAATTTCCAATTTGTACTGCAGGGTTCACCACGAATCCTCCACCTAATGCCGACGGACATTTTAGGGAGATGGGGGATGAGTGGGATTACATGCAAGACAGAAAAAAAAAGGGAAAGGAAACATATAAGATGATCTTGGTAAATTGCAAACATTGATTCCGATGAACAGCCACAAGGTTTCAGAGAAACTAATCCAAACCTTTGGAAGGGCTGTAAGAATGGATCAGCTAAAGAAAACCAAACAAAAACCAACCAAACAAAAAGCCAGCACATATTTTTCAAACATATACAGTACTGCAGATGTGATTCCACTTTGGAAAAGCAGGGCAACCATATTACATGTGTGTACCAGGCTCATGTCAGGACATCCAGAAGGAAAGGTACACATTATTTTTTAAAATCCCCTTGTATCCTTATTCAAATCTATGCATCTTTTTCATATCTACATCACAAATAATTTGGCTTTCCATCACATGCACATGCACCTCTTGTGGACTTTCGTTGTATGGATGTGGAAGTCTATTCTAAACTAATAAGATTTCGGTCTCTCTTTTTTTCAGTTTCACCACCAGAATTATGCCACTCCTCTGGGAGGCTAATACACATTAAAAAAAACATAAACATAAAAACATTCAACCTCTCATCTGACAATCATCTCATAGAAAAAAATAACCCTTTTTTATGATATTGTTTCTTGTTGGCAAGCTAAGGCTGCTGAGCAAAAGCTAGCTACTTTAATTGTTATTGATCTGCCAGCAGATAGAGTAAATGATGCTCATCTTCCAGAGATAGTTTGCAGAATTGGATGAATAAAAATGTGATGGAAACCATGAGAAAAGGAACAATACAACAGTACTTGCAGCCAAGAAAGGGTATTATTACAATGATTATGACATTTCTATTTTTAAAAGTTATTTATACACAGTGTATATTTAATTTGTATTTAATAATTTCTATTACTGTATTATGTAATTCTGTTACTAATTTTTATCTAATCTGTTGATTGTAATAAAGTAATCTGAATCTATTTACAAACACATCTTATTATCCCATCATATACAAGTTAACAATTCCTCAAAATAGTGTTGGTGCCTTTTCAAACCCTACTGATTTTACAAGTTTGTACTCCACTGTTTCTAAAACTAGCACATTGGCTAATCACAATTGAAACCAATGTTTCCATTTCAAAACACCTTCTTTGTAAGAGTCACTTTAGGGCTTTTCCAAGCAAGATATCACTTCGGCTTTCAGGGCTTCCTCAACAGATAAAACACTTGGCAGGCAGATTAACTTCTACTTTTCCAGATAGACAAGAAAGAGGTTTTTACAACTAATGTAATTAATTTTTTCAGTCTCCTCGTGATGATTGTTTTAGATGCTGATTCATTAACGCGGAGCAGATCACCACCATGTGATGCACTTGTGTATATTTTTCCATGCAACTTTTAAAAAAAAATATACTGAAATTTCGTCTTACAATTGTAGTGCCTCCCATCCCACTCCTACCAATAAGCAGTGCATCCTAAGCATCACTCAAAATAAATACTGTATCACTTTTCCACTGATTTCAGCATTCTAAACATGTTTGGTGGCAGTGACCCACCTTGGTGGTTCTTTGTTGCCTGGGTCATCATAACACTCACCATTCATTCACAGTAGTAGAGATTTTGTTGAAGAAGTTGCTGGATCTTTTTCAGCTTATTCAAGAAGTTCGGAACAAAGTTCAACACATCTTTGCACTCGTATGAATATTCAAGAAACCCAATAATGAAATGAGTGATCTCTGACTAATATTCAGTCTGTGCACTACATGTTCAATGGAAACTTGATCCTCCATGAGATTGGATCCCACTTTGGCTATACTTTATTGTTTTGGAGTCAGAGTACACTCATTTTCTGGATCTTCTTTAAAATTCCCACTGCTGCATTTAAATTCAGCTGTCTCAGCTTTGATTGTGTGGAATGATGAAACAAGCGAAACATGCTCAACGATAGGTAGTAGTGAACGCTTGTGTCACCTTGTGTCAAGGACAAAGCAAAACAAATCTATGACTGCTTGGTTTATTTCACATAAGTATCTGCAACAGAAAAACACAGCTTAACGTTACTATAGTGAACATTTTTGGAAACAGTTCTGAAGGATGTGCCCATATCCTAAGAAATGTTCTTAATTGCCACAGGAGAAAACTCATCATTTCAGCAAAACGTTTAGATTGATCCTCATCCGTAGCTGGTCAGCTGAGTCTTAGCACACCTGAGCTAGGCCTTTTCTCAGAAGGGGTAGCATCAGTTTACGACTTGCAAGGCACATGAATAAAAGGTCAACCAACTTCAGTCATGTTGCAAATGGAAATAGTACTGAGTAACATTGAAGTTGATATATTTTTGAAGAGTTTATTCAATCTCCAAAACTTTCACAGCAGTAAGACCCATCAAAGGGCGCAGTATACAATTCAGACAGACATTTTTCTGCACAAACCTCCCTGAAATGAATGGGCAGCTCTTCCAGACCTTCAGCATCTGCACAATACCTATTTCATTTCATGGAGGCTTGTGCAGGATAATGTCCTGTTGGACTGTAAACATAAGTGTTTGGGCAGATACTTAGTGATCCAACTACACTCTCTTCTATGTTCAATGATATTATAGAAAGTGCTCCTTTACAAAACTTGTGAGAACAAGATGTAAGGTTATCCAGTTTTTCTCTATCCAACAGAGGAAGGAAAACTGTGCCTCCACTGTTCCTTTTCAGGTCAGGGGGAGGAGAACCTGGCAACCATGTACAGTTTTTAGAATACTAGCCAACAGACAACTACAGTAGAACAATATCAAAATGTAGTAAGAGCATTTTGTTGTTCACCAGGAAATAATATGCCTGCTGTATGCAGATAATCTACTGTGCCAGAGAAGTGCTCCATTACCTAGAAAAAGAAGAAACATAATACAGCAAAATCCAGAAATCAAAAAGAGGCCTAGAGGTTGAAGTCCAATTCCCTTGAGGCAAAGATGCACACCAGTGTGGGCTGGGTGTGTCCCCTCTTCTTAAGTCCCTCCGACATCTTGCTTTAAGAGTCAGGTGGGAAGACAAGGCTCAGGAGTGCTTCCATGCTTGTCCCAAACAATGCAGGTAGAAGAAACAGTAGGAGCAGAGAGGAAGAATGCACTATCAATTTTGAAGTGCGAATTCTGAGTCACGACACACACAAACACCCGTTCACATAAAGGGGAGGACTGACTGACCTCGTCCTGCCTTTCAGTCCAGGGATCAGAGTAACTCTGCACTTGTCCAAATGTACAAGATTCTTCTGTTTTGTTTTGTTTTTAAAAGAACACTCCAACTAAACTGAAGTAATTTAAAAGACAAACAACAGATATTCCTTTCAAGGCAAAAGGTGCCTAAAACTTTGGCTGATATAAAGACACACGCCCACTAAGGCACCCAGAGGCAATCTGACAATGCGTTGGAGAGAACTTGGTGGTCAGGACCACGTCACTATGCGAATAGAGTGAGCGGATCTCTTGCAAGGGGGCGGCTTCCTTGGGCAAACAGTCCACCAGTTCGCTGCACTGCGAGTCAAACCCCAACAAGCGGATCCCATAACCATGCGGGGAGGCGATCATGCGGCCATCCGGGCTGAAACAGAGTTCTTTGATATAGCCTCGACCAACATTGGCTTCCTCAATGCAGTGAGTCAATCGGAGAGAACACCGAGGGGAAACTGGCCTCACTGGGGTGCCTTCTTGGAATTCATAGACACAAGTCCACTAAAAATAGAAAGAAAAAAAGAGAGAAGGCAAAAAAAAAAATAACAATGAATTCATATTAGCAAGTGACAAGTTCAGCCCATCCACAGCTACTATAAGGAAGCAATAAATGCTTTGGCGGATCATTGAAAATATTGATCTAGTTCAGCATTCTATAATTGGCTATTTAATTCCCAATTAATTCCCAAGGAAGCTATCAAACAGGACAGGAGGGACTGCTATCTATCCCACTTAATTAGTATTCAGAATACTGAATTCAAGGTTTGGTTGGACACTGTAGACAGACCTAATTTCCATTGATCTGCCGGCCCCTTTTAAATGGATCCAAAACAACAGCTGCCACCACATCTTGTGGGAAGTGTATTTCATTTATTGTGTATGGATGAAATACAGCAGGGACTCTCTCTCTCTCTCTCTCTAAAAAAGGAAGATAGGAAGGCACTGCTGAAGGAGGAGACAATACAGTGGTGCCTCGCATAACGAGCGCACCGTTTAACTACAAATCCGCATAGCGATCTATTTTTTGAGATTGCTAATGCGATCGCATTGCGATGTTTTAATGGACAAAACATCGCATTGTGATGATCGGTAAGCGTTTCGCTTACCAATCTTCGCATTTCGATGTTTCTAAAACAGCTGATCGGTGGTTCCAAAATGGCCGCCGGGTGCCCTAATTGGCCACTGCAACTATTTTCGCGCGATTTCCTCGCTTACCGAGGCGGCGAAAATGGCGGTGCTATGGAGGATCTTTGCATAACAGTGAGTTTTCCCCCCGTAGGAACGCATTAAACGAAGTTTAATGCGTTTCTATGGGGTTTTCCCGCCCGCATTGCGATGTTTCCGGATAGCGACGATTAATCCGGAACTGATTAACATCGCTATGCGGGGCACCACTGTATAGCAAACAATGAAGAAGAGTTACTCATCCTTGTCAGGAACGCTAGGGTGTTGGATTAGGACTAGAGATAGCCGGTGTCTAATCCTCATTCATCCATGAAACTTGCTGGATAATCATGATCATCATCATCAAAAACATCTTAGAATTTCAGAGCTAGAAAAACCCTGTGGATCATCAAATTCAGTCCCTATAAAGGAGGCAGCGTGGGGAACTGAACTCCCAGTCTCGGGCTCCACAGCCAGATACCTAAACCACAGAGCTGATTAGCTTTGGAAGTCTTGATTAGAAATGCGTCATTTGGATTTTGGGAATCCAGGTCCCAAAACTCTCCAAAAATTCCTCAGGCTGAATTCCACTTCTATTCCATAGGCCCGTGCTTTTGGATACTTTTATTTCTCTCACTGGGAACAAGGCCTACCACAGAGATTGCATTCTAGACCTCATGTCCTGCCACAATGCTTCCAGCAAGAAAGACGCCACCATGTTTCCTGAGCATTGTAGTTCTTCAGGAGGCACTCTCTACAGGAAGCAGTGTAGCAGGAAACGAGGGCCAGAATGCAGTCTCCGCGGTAGGGTTTGGTCCAAGTAAGGGGCATAAAGGGATCTGAAAGCATAAACCTGTGAGTTGGAACTCCCAGAATTCTGCCTGTGAAATTCTTGGGGAATGCTGGGAATCAAGAGTCCAAAAATCTGACTGGCACAACCCTAGACAGGATCTCTCAACTTAACCCACCTCACAGGGTTACTATGACGATACAGATTGGGAAACCTTGTAGGCCACTTTGCATTCCATGGAGGAAAGGTGGGTTTTACATATAGCAAAAATAAAGAAACGTAATTCTGAACCAAGTGTACAGATCCATTTTGACAAGTGGCAAATGTTGCTGCTTAAAATTAGACCTTATACACAATTAACAAGATATGATGGCCATGGCAAATTACATCAGTCCCCCACCACCATCTTCTAGTAAGTTATCAAAAGAACAACAGTTCACCCCTGATCCACAAGACACTTTAAGAGCACAAGAGAACACCAGTAATTCCACAAGAAAATAATCTCTTCAGAATAGATGTGCCCCACTACCATCAGCCTGTTTTACCTCCTGGTCATCAGTGTTACTTGAACATCGAAGAAGCGTAGCCCACCCTTTGGGATGGAGCTGCAGTGATGTAATGCAGTTTCCTCAATCCCTCTCACCAGGAACCTCTGGGGTCAGAACTTCAAGACTATTGCGTGGTGATCCACCTATTGGGAAGAAGTATAATTAATAACCACCATTCTCTCTCATTAGTCAAGGTGCTCAACGGTCCAATGAAGTGGGTGACCCAAAGTACTATGGTAGAAGATGTAATTACATATTCACACACTAAGTCAAATCTTGTGATTCTGCAGCCATCAAATGATAAAAAGAGCGCAACATGCTTATCTGATGCTAAATGGAGCAACCTTAATCTGAATGCACAAGAGACGTTTTAACCAACTTTCTTCAACTTTAGTGGTTTAACGCACCTTCTCGTTGGGTAGCTCGTACTGCATGTTTCTCAGATAGGGGGGTTGAGTCACCCTGGTGACATGGTGATCCAGTACTCCTCGGACCAGATGAGGCAGCAGAGGCCAGATCTGGGCAGAGGAAAACAATACTATGTGAAAACAAGTAAAAAGAAACCACATTGTTCAATCATCTTCACTCATTAACAATTTAATGTCATTGAACATTTCTCTGTGAAAGTATGTGAGAGTCAGAGCCCAACAACATTGCAGGAATTTTTAAAAAAAAACTTGTTGCAGCAATAATATTGCTTAATGTGTTTTCAAGAAGTCCCTTAGTTCCCACAGATTGACTAATCTCTAATGAGCAGATAAGGAATGGAAAACCTTCCCTGAAGGGCACTTTGCCACACCACTGCTGACACTCCCCTGCAACAGGCAACCCCAGGGAAATACTGACTGCGCAAAGCGTGTTCAGCTCATCCAAGTCGATGAGCTACCACAATGCCTTCTATATAGGAATCGTGAACACATGCTTGCCTAGCACACTCCCCGGAAGCTCCTACAGCATAAAGCTGCTCTTCCATTGGCTCATTCAGCCATGAAGCACAGCACTGCTTCCCATCTCTAGTTACCTCTTACTAGAAACAGGAATAGAACGTGTGTCAGAGATAGGGGTCTGTTACACAAGACATATCGACTCACCTAAATTGGATACGGTTCTCCTGGCTCTTAAAATGGGGTAGCTGACAACCTCTAAAGATTTGGTTAAATCGAGGTCGTGCAAAATCAGGAGATACCCAGAAGAAGTTGAGATCAACATTTTGGAACAGTCTGGGGTCAACCTCATGCGCATGAGGAAGCGGGTGTGAAAGAACTTCTTGTGAGGGCAGCCATCTTCTGTGCACCTGGGGGCAGAGGCAAGTTAAAAAATTTTTTAAATCTCTTGTTTAAAGAATCCAAAGTTTTAAGATCATATTTAAAATGGACAGAATGCTCAACATGCACTCTACTTCTCCACAAGAGACTTCTCTAAGACATCCCAGAGTTTTGCCGCTTTTCAAGGGCTGCAGGGGCAGATATCTCAATGATACCATGCCTAGGGAGAGAGCCAGCTGGATTCTGGACAACATAACAGATTTTTCAGAGCAACAGGCACATCCTCGTTTTTAAATCATCCAGTTCAAAGAGGCCCTAGATGCCAAATCTGCTTACCTATTGGTATCCCAAATAATAACATTTCCATCAAATCCCGATGTTACTAACAATCTTGTGTTAGTGTCATATTCAATGTTCTTCACCCAGCTGGTGTGACCGTGTAAAGTGCACACTTTGGAATCGAGCTTCCTCAGATCCCACAGCGCTATGGTAGTGTCATCAGAGCATGTTGCAAACAGTCTGTTATCAAGAAACCTAGAAGCAAAATGGAAAGAGAGAAAAAAATGGTTTAATCAATCCAAATTCACAGCCAACCTCCCCAAATCTGTCACGAAACAGCAACTCTTGGATGACAGCAACAAATTCCTACACAGAATAGTACCAGGAACATATTTCTAAAACATATAAACTGAAACAAAAAAAAGGCACAAAGGCTAATATTGTTGTGTTGAAAGGGAGTATCTGAGATTTACCAGGTGAAGAAACATTAACACATTCAGGATTTGTTATAAAATGTCTTCAAAATATTAGCTACCAGGCTCCCCTACTGAACATTTTCAATAGAAATGTTCTAACTAATTTTGAAGAATGCACAAATCCCTGTGTGCCAATTGAGGAGTTCTTTTTGGAAAACAATGTTACTTCTGTATATAGTTTAGGAATGAGGGGCAGAAGAATGCAACATGGAGAGAACACAGTGAGACAAAGAAAGGAAGGCTATACTTGAGTCCAGAAGACAGTAAGAACATCAGAAAATGCCTTATATTGATGGTGATCACTATGATGCCTGTCCTGTTAATTTGGATTTCAGCTTCTATAAACTGAAGCCAGCAGAGTCAAGGGTAAGGGAATATGAGAGCTTTAGACCAAATCATCTGAATCCACAAAGGTTCCCTGTTTGTGGTTTATACAGACCAACACTGGCTTTCTGGGGTTTCAAACAGGAATCTTTCCACTTTGTATCTGGAAATGCAAAGAACTGATCATGGACCCATTTGCTTGCAATGCATATGCTAAACTGCTGAGATGCCACAGTAACTGTAACTCCATGTAGGATGGTGGTCATGTGATGTCCTCCAGATGTTGCTACATTACAGCTCTCATTAACCTTTGCCAGAAGAATCAAAGATGAGGAAAGCCAAGTTACATCTGGAAAACTACCCTTTGCCCACCCCACCTTATGACAACAGGTTGTATCCAGGCCAAATCAGCTGCATTTGCCAATGAAATCCAGTTACTTAGCATAGTAAGTTGGAACTAAATAAGGCTCATTTTTATCAACGGAATTTATGGAGAAATTGACTCACCAAATCACTACTGATTTAATCAGCCTACTCTTGTGCAACTTTCTATGGAGTATAGGATTAGAGCCAGTAAGACTTAAGTCGTGGCTATTATTTCATATTGATTTTAATATATCCCAGATTCAATTAACTTTAGCCAGAATCCTACTCAATCTGTGGAGACAGCTATGTCAAGCTTTGGTACTTCCTCAACTTTATTTCAGTCATGATTAAATTAATTTGGACTGCTTAGCCTCTCTGTACATAGCTTGGTCTTGGGGAAATAGCTAACAGGCCAAGAAGTGGTGGTGGTGTAGTGAATTCTCCTTCATTGTTGGCTTTCAATCAGATGATGGATGATCATCAATCAAAGTTACTTTTGAGGCAGGATTTCCCATTTCCTGCAGGCAGTTGGGGATCAATCTTGGAGTCCCTTTCCACGGCTACAAGTCTATGATTCTAAGTGGAAACAAACATCTTTCAATCTGACCACACGACCACCACTTCTTGCCTAGTTTGTAATTAGGATTATTTGGAAGCTGATCGCGGTGCCTCAAACCCACAATAGGAACATATACAGGGTATTAACCCCTCCAACAGAAATGCAGGCAGGAATATGTTGGAAAGCAATCAACCAGCTGTAAGCTGAACTTCTGCTCAATTAAAATAACCTGGCTCCAAAATCTATCTGAAGTGCAGGAATTGAGTGCCTTGCACACAGCCTTGATATTTCAATTCAGACTTTCTACAGCCTTGTGGTTGTTGTGGGGTTTTTCGGGCTCTTTGGC